ATTCACGCTCGTACTTTCATCCACCTATCCGCTCATTCACTCACTTCCTCACCCTCACTTAGTCCACCCTCGCCCACTCCCTCACCTCAACCACACCCTCCTTCATCTTCACTCGCACACAAGAGCTATGAAAAACACTCATATACACTTTCTTTTCCTTAGAAAACGTTAGAGCATTTTCGATTTGCATAGACTGAATGATACTTCACCCAACCGCCCCTCCCCACCGATACCCTTAGTTGTACCAACTCCTCTCGATCTCTCTCTGAACCTAGGGGGTACCATGGAAAGTTTGGTGATCGTACCTATTACAGGGACTGAATACATAGCGAATAGACAAGCAAACATTTTTCTTTATATATATATATATAGATAGATGAGTTAATGATATTAAATATTCTTACCTCTAATTTATCCAGTATTTGTTCTGTAACATTATGAATATTTTCTCCAGTATGTGCACCTTTAAAGCGTATGAAATCCAAAAGAAGAGCTTGTGGAACGCTATGTGAGTCAAGAAAATGACCCGTAATACCGATGTAGGATCTTCCTCGTTTGTCTGTCCACGCATCGATTGTAATCGTTAAATATTTCACGTTACTAAGTATATTTTTTATTTTATCTTGTGTATTTTTCATCAACGATGGTAATAATGTTTTGGTGTAATAACGAGACGACGCAGGTTTCCATTTTGGAGCAAGTATTTTTAGAAAATTTCTAAAACCACGGGATTCAGCTATTGACAGTGGTAAATTGCATTTCACAATTAGTTCTTCAAGAATAGCTTGGTTGATTTTGTCGTTGTTATTTGTCGAATTTTCCAAAATATCGTTTGTATCTTTAATAGGTGTAGTGGAATTTGAAGATTTTGCTTTATCATATAGATCATTGTGTACACGTTTGAGATGTTTATGAAAATTGCCAGTTGAACCAACTTGATCCGTATAACTTTTACTACAATTTTTACATTTACCAGATACCTTTCCATCTTTAGGAGCGGCGAATTCAAAAAAATCTTTGAGAAAATTCATACGAAGTTGTTGCAGTGTTACCGTAGGAAGTAGGAGGAGATGATAGTATGGAAGCTTAATGATAGTTTGTTCATTTAAGAAAAAAACGCGAGTATTTATAGGACAAGAAATAGCTACTTTGATTATTCCCATCTCTCGTAATACAACATATTCTAGGGAAAATACATAAGCGATATCCTTTTGTTCATCATTTGGAAATAGCATAATCGAAATATAAATCAGAAAAACAAAAGAAGAACGCATTAATATAACGAAGGGAAAATACCATATGATTATATATTTGACAGAAAAGGAAAAAATCCGACATGATCATATATAAAGAAAAGAAGGAAAATACCATACAGATATATATGTGAAAAAAAAAGAAGAAAATACTATATGATCTTATACGTGAAAGAGTAGCAAACGAATATTCTAAATGTTCGCTTATATAGGTGTAGATAATAATAAGTAACATAGAAGAAAACATTACTTTCTAATCTTTTGCTGTCTTAAGATGAAGTATTTATATAAACGAAAAAAACTACAATCATAGTAGATGTATAGAAAAAAATTAGCGTAATGTTTCACTTTGATCACACCAATAGATTATAATATAAAGATGTAAGGACGGGTCTAATATGGAATTATTATGTAAACAATATTATTTGATATCATTTACTCATCTCGTTACACAATATTTTTTGCGTGCGCTATATTTATTCAAACTATTATAATTACGAACACAATCATTAAATAATATTAAATAAAACACGCTGTAAACTATCAGTGCATTACAATAATCAGATACGCTAATCTTATTTTGAAAATATATATTATATTGATCTCTCATGTACAAGTATCAAGTACTCTTCTTAAAGTACAAGTACAAGTACCAAGTACTCCTCTTCAAGTACAAGTACAAGTATCAAGTACTCTTCCTAAGGTACAAGTACAAGTACCAAGTACTCCTCTTCAAGTACAAGTACAAGTACCAAGTACACTTCTTCAAGTACAAGTATAGTACTTTTACTTGCGGTACTTGTACTTGTCCTAGCTCTG